ACTTTTTATTATTTATTATTATCATCAGCCTATTAATGTCCCCACTACTGGGGCACAGGCCTTCCCTATGGAAGAAATAGGGAGATTGGCGGGTGCTAACGATTGCAGATGCAGCCGGGACCGATGGCTTAACGTGCCTTCCGAAGCACGGAGGAACTCGAGATAGAAGATTTTTGATCACCCATCCAATGACCGACCACTGCGAAAGTTGTTTAACTTCAACGATCGCAGCGGGACGCGCTTACCACCTGCGCCATCGAGCTCCGCTTTACTCAACCATATTTGAATGAATGTAGGTATTTAATGGGCGCGGAGACCAATGATATTAATAGGCTAGTTGACCCTTTTTGGAAAAAGGTTTTAAATGGTTAATAAATGTTCTATTAGACCGAAAAAAAATGTATTGTATTTTTTTGAGACCTAGAAAGCTACAAATCTTCAATTTTAAAATAGACTTTTCATGGACATACAAAAACGCTGTCGGCCATTTTAGTCTATAGATTATCTATGCTATGACGTCGACGGTAGTAAACAAAAACTCGTAAGCACGTAGAAAATAACCCATCTGAGTTTATAATAAAAAAAAACATGATTTCTAATAGATACCACGAAAAATATAGTAATTATCATTATTGTAATGTACGAGAATGTAAAAAAAAACCTTGAAGACTCCAGGAAAGTTGTGGATAAAAGTGCCGAAAGAAATTAACCTACGCAATACCTGGTTAGAACTTGCTAAAAGTGATCCTGCAACTTTATCGACTCATAGTAAAATTTATTTTTGCGAAGATCACTTTGATGTAAGTATTCATTGAATAATATTTTAAGTCTCTTCATTTATTATCAGTTTTAATAATACAAGTTTTAAAGTTATGTATGAATGACATTTAGTTGTTTACTAAAAGAGACGTCACAATCATGGCGGATGTGGTGAACAGCGTTTTTAGTGTTTAAAAAGTATAGACTAAAAATTATTTTTTCAAATTAAATTTCTACAGCAATCTTCTGCTTTTATGAAGTGAAATCGATATATTTAGGTTCCCTAGACCAAATACTTTAAGAAATAAAAATTTATTTAATACAATTCGATATGAGTCAACTAGCCTATTGGCGAACACCTAAAAGTTACGAATGAAATAAACTAGCTTTAAAACTTACGGTACTGAATATCTTATGATATTTATCCTTTGTCCATAACACATTCATATCGCCACAAGCGGTTCAAACTATAATTATAACAATTAAGTACGAATGAAATAAAAACAAAGATGATTTTATTAGATTTTTGAATTTAACCTCAATTCAACGTCAGCATTTCGTCAAAATATATTTTTAAAAGAGGTAAGAATAACGGAATGATTATAATACTCTTATTAACATAAATATTAGTGATGTGCCGGATATCCGTATCCGTATTCGTATCCGCGGATATCCGAGGCAGAGGAAAGATTCGAATCCGTGTCCGTATCCGTTACTTTTTGGGGGATCTATTACGGATCTATTTACCTTATTAATTTTAAATTTATAGATAAAATTCTTTAAGGCGAAGGGTAAGGCGCACTAGCGACGCCAATTGCCGAGATTCTGATGCTCCACAATTATTTGAAATAGATCTGGTTTAGTAGTTTACAATTTAAAGCAATTGGCATCGCTAGTGCGCCTTACTCTTTGCCTTAAATAGGTGATTAGGTAGCAATAAAAACTATTAAATTCAATACAGATATTCTTTTATTTCTTAAAATCAAATATTTGTCTTCTTTATGTTGCAAACTTTGCCGTAGTTAGTTATCATTATCATACCAATAGTATATAACTACAAGGTACTAAATCAACTAGCTTTTTAATGAGATCAATATTATAAAAAGTTATAAGATCACTTTTTATTAAGAAAACAAAACTTAGAACTTCGTAATATTTTTAATTCGAATTAAATCTTTTTTTAATCAAGTAAACTAGTACTGCGTGACACATACAGTGTTAATGTTAGGTAAAAATCACAATGACAATTAGAGGAACTTAAAAAAATTATAAGTCATAATTGAAATTTAGTAATGGTAAATTATACTTCAAAAAGAGTAACTTAGCAGCTTTGTTCCCCAAAAGTCTGTTACGATGAGGATCATACACAATTCCTGCTGCACTAAAAAATTGCTCACTTGGAATACTTGTTGGAAGCGTTATCTATGCTGCCCAGTGTCACATTAAACTAAAACAAAACAAAAAAAACCCGCCGCGCAATGCAAGTCGAAACATGTCTCAACTCAAGATCGCGCGCACCGACACCGAATGTGTAACAAAGTTAAGATCCGTAACCGTATCCGTATCTGCGGATCTTGACACCAAATATCTGTATTCAGATCCGTATCCGCGGATCTACATTTTTGACGATCCGGCACATCACTAATAAATATCAGAGAGCAAGATCAACTAAGGCTCTTTTAATTATTAGTATATAGATTTTTTATATTTGCTATTTTCTCCTGCTTTACATCAAACGTTTGTGAAATTCATGCAATCCTATTGAAATCCGTGATCCGGATTAATCTAATCAGGTCACGGATTGTAACGGGATTTAGATTTACTGGTTTAAAAAACAAACCAGTATCCAGGCAGTAAGTAAATTAAAAAAAATGACAAATGTATTTTGACAGCAAGTTCGTTTTTTTAATTCGTGTTTTACGAGCGTAACTTTCACCATTTCGGCCTTTTCGTAACTCTAGTTTTCATTTACTTACAATATCTTCAAGGATGTTAGTCACGTAATTATATAAGATAGGTTACGTATTTGTGTTTTTTTTTAATACATGGCAATTGGCTGGGTATGCTGCAGTTTTGTATAAATCTGAATTAAGCCATCGATCAGTATCATCCTCTGTATAAGGAAAGTAGGGCAGTCCAAGATATTGCAATGATTCAACATTATTTGTATTACAGTATCTGCAACTGTTTGAGTCTTCTAGTTTGATTCTGTGTAAATGCTCATGAAATCTTCCGGGACCAATTCTCCTTCGGTTTATCATGGTAATGTACTTTCTTAGTGGGTTTTTTAATTTATAATGTCACGATTATTCCGGGGTTGTACCTTGGATTTCAGCATGCCATGTTCCTTTAGTTGTCCTTGTTTCTGGCCAATATTGATTCTATATCAAATACATCCTTTCTTTTATGGTACCATAAAAATCCTTAAAAATTATTTGAGTAGAACATGGACAGGTATGTTGAAATTTAGAAAGGACACCCGGCATTTTGTGCCACAATTGTATACTTTTTTATTTTTTTTATCTGTGTTTCATAATTGGGTAACGTAGTCTGGCAATATTTGTCATCAGCAGCTAGCTGTCAATGTCAAATACGTAGGTTTGTCATCAAAAGGGTTTCTATATCAAAAAATATTAATCATTAAATAACTTATTTCCACGATTCACTAAAAATAAGGCAAAAGTAGTTTTATGTAGCAAATAATTTTGGCTTTATTTTGAGACTAAATTCAACTGTATACAAGTTTAGCATTTTTTCTATGAAAAGTGCCGGGTCTCCTTTCATTAACGAGTCCGCAATTTCGTTGATGCCGGAATGGGAGAGAACCCTCATTAATTCGATATTTTCTACAATCAGTTCGTTCTTATAAAAGTTCTTTAATATAATAGATATACACAAAGTTACACAACAAATAAAATGCTGATTTTGTGTTGTTGATGTGATGCAGAAACTATTAGTTTCTGCATCAATGGACTGTTCGTCTATTACACTAGTACCTATATTAAGTTTTTGAGTGTTACATATCTGCGTAAAAATAGATTTATTGCCCCCAAAAATCGATTAATCGATATCAGTTCGCGGTTCGCTATCCCCTTTCTATTGTAGGGATGACGATTCTTTACGAAAACATTGATTTTTAAATCGATTCGAATCCTAACCTAAATCGCTACACAAGAAATCCTGGTGGTCACAAAAATCGATCGATTTGTTTTCCAAGTTTGCGTTTACTATGTAATAAAATAAATCAATTTTATTAAAAACAAGTAAAATAAGCGATCTCTTATCAGTAAAATCAGGGAATTCGATAAAAACAGCTATTTATATTACCACATCAAAGTATCACAACAGGCATTTTAAATTAACTGGGCTACACAATGGTATTTTTTATTTTGATCTGGCTTGTGTAGTTTTTTTATAACGGAACAATAGCGTAGAAGAGAAGAAGACTAGATATCGCGCCGTCACTTGTACGTTTGACGTGTTATTGACATTTGGACATTCAAGTGTCAATGAACGTTGGAGAAGTTAAGGTACAATTCTGCAATGGGCTGCAAACGACAACCGCAGGCTATCGCCTGCGGCTGACCGTGCATTGTATACATTGTGCAGCCGCGGCATGTCGCCGCGCTCGGAATCAATTTCATAGAGATTCATATAAACTAGTAGTGTCGCCTGCAGTCTGCAGCTGCGGCCTGTGGTGTGCGGTTCAGTTCGGACTTGTACCTTTAAACAATAAATGAATGACGCAAAATCAATCATAGCTACAAAACTTTTTTAATTAAAGAGAGGCGAAGGAAACAAAACACAGCCATCGCGAGTTTTTGAGTTATTAACTCTTTCGCAGTACTCTTATAATATGGGTATATTCAACTAATTGTATGATTTATACCAAAACAGAAAAATCTAATGTCGATTTTAAAGCACCCTTTATATATCGGTTCATGAAATCGACTCAATACTACAAGTCGATTTAAAAACTTGATTTTGTTTTCGATTAACCGATATCAGATCGCCATCCCTACTCCATTGTTGACGTTTGTCTTTGCAGAAGTTATTGTTGATTTTGCTTTTCGTGCTAATATAATATTAAAATTATCAACCGCAAAAAAATATAAAAAAACTAATAATATATAACCAGTTTCCCAGATCAGAAATGAATTTATTCATTTCATAATGTACCTCAGAGTGTAAACGACCACAACATTTTGTTACCCGAGATATTTTAATAAAACTCTCTAAAAATGGGTGGAAAAGCGGAGAAAGGTACACCAAAGTATATAGCGAATAAAATAAAAGCGAAAGGACTCCAGAAACTGAGGTGGTACTGCCAAATGTGTCAGAAACAGTGCCGCGATGAGAATGGGTTCAAATGCCACACCATGTCGGAATCCCACCAAAGGCAACTGCTGCTGTTCGCTGATAACGCCAATAAGTACATAGATGAATTCTCCAAGGAGTTTGCAGATGGTTACGTGGAGTTGCTGCGAAGGCAGTTTGGTACGAAGAGGGTGAATGCAAATAAAGTTTATCAGGAGTACATATCACATAGGTAAGATTTTAAGTTGCATTCTCAAATAATCTAGTGGTTTTTTTGGATATACTGTACTTCCAGGGCCCAAAAGTAAAAACTTCACAGTTTTGTTGGTTGTGATTTCGCATTTTTGTTGTTAAAAAGGTTTCTGTTAACCACATTATTAAAAAAAATGTCACATTTATGCACTGGTAGTTTTTTAGAAAAAAATATTGAAAATTTTTACTTTTCTTATCAAGTGGTGATACTTCACACTGGTTAGGTTAGGTTAGTGTTGTGACCATAACGCGCGAGCCGAGCGAGCAAAGCGAGCGTGCCGCGGCAGCGGCCGGCGAAGCGCCAGAAAAAAAAATCTGTTAAAAAGACCTTTTCTACAAAAAAAAATAAGTATCACCTTTTGGGCCCTGGAAGTACAGTTTTACCGTTTTTTTTAATACTCTATAACGTGAATGTCGTAAAGTCGTTGATGACACAATAAACATGCTATTCTTCTTAATCACTTGAATGTTTTTTAATTCACAAACCTGCATTTACTTAACAAAATCAACATATTCTCTTTCAATCATTTTTAGCAGCAAAAAGATTATTTTTCTAATATTTAAGACATTTGTCAATCAAAGACGTTTTCATAGATAAGTTAAGTTTAACTGCGCGGCACACGAGTAGATCGGCCTGTCCTCAACATTACGGAACGTGGTGGTTCAACTCCAAGCCTTTTAAAGTTAAGCAGCAGTAATAACCCATAAGTTTGTCATAAACCAAAGCTTTCAAAATAAAAATGAAGTTGAAACTCCAAACAGAGGAGTAAATAATACGATTTGACAAGTAACATTTTTTTTATTAGTCTTTGTGAAGCGGTTAAGATCATATAGCCATCTAGTATTTACTTCACTATTAATATAAAAATGTGTGGCTTAATTAAGTGATCTTAAAGCAATAGAAAAAAGAAGCTTTGATAGAGGGAGGCTTGTTTTATATTGACTTTTAGTATAGTCCTAACATCAAAATTTCAATCATGAATATCCCCCGCTACCACCACTTAAATTGACGGATCTTATTGTATATTTTTACTTTATAATGTAGCTTTCTCTTCTAGGGACCATCTTCACATGAATGCTACACAGTGGGAAACTCTCACAGAGTTTGTGAAGTGGCTCGGACGTGAAGGTAAATGTGTGGTTGATGAAACGGAGAAAGGTTGGTTCGTAGCATACATTGACAGGGACCCGGCCGCTGTCGCTGCAATGGAAGCTAAAGCTAAGAAGGAAAAAATGGACAAGGATGATCAGGTAATAATTAAAATATTTATGAAGTTTGAATATAGCACGATATTGCTATATTTAAACTTCAAACTTTTATTGCATTTTCTATGCTGTACATTACAGTTAGTTTCAAATAGGGGTGATGACGGGGTACAGTAAACGAATATTTAGTCCGTCAGTTGGATGATCAAAAAATAATAGACACATGTTTTTTTCTTTGGGCGATTGCCCAAAGAAAAAAACATGCTTTGTAATTTGTAATTTTTTGTAATTTAGTAATTTTAGTAATTTTTTGTTTGATTAAACAAAAAATTACAAAGCTTTAGCGCGTTACATTTTGGGAGTAGGGGCTTGTGACGTTACTTTTAAGTGAAAATTGTACTTGTTTAATTGTAAAACGTGACATCATGCGAATTTTCAAATCAATTTATATTATGTGAAAAAAGAAAAAATATGTGTCCAATACTTTTTGATAATCTACCTGATAAACGAAGAAAAAATTAGTCATCATCCCTATTATCCATGCCTAAAGAAACTAAGTATTACTACTTTTGCAGAAATTTCAGAAAGAATAGCTGTTTTTAGACAGTGTTTGAATACAAATACAAATATATTTATATTGGTACACGGGCAATAGGATCTTAGGCTTTATAAATAACATGTTGTGATCAGCCGCAGAGGTGTACAATACAAGTTACAGTACAATTTTAGACGAATATTTAAATAAATACAAATTACAAACATTAAATTCTATGCCATATTAATTAAAAATTGGCAGTACCATGTTATTTCTTTTTTTAATTTGGGCATTGAAACGTATGTTTAGTGCTTTTAGATAAAACTCATTTAACTAATAAAATGAATTATGTAATGGTGTAATTTTTGTTTTGCTGTCCTATATAAATATACTTAAATATGTATCAGTATATGTATTCTATTCGTAACCCTAATTACGTTTGTTACAGCCGGAGGATCGAAAAAAAACCAATTATTTTTATATGAGTTTAATAGAAAAGAAAAATTTACATGTAAAAATTACGTCTAAATAACCTAACGATCGGTTCGAGGTCGGAACCAGAATGCCTTCGAAATATTAATGAATTGAACAGCATAAGAATGCAGCGTCGGCAGCTTGGCCTTGGTGTCGGTGCATCGTAGTAAGCCGTGGTTGCTACGTAAGCGATCTTCCTTACGTCCATTTACGTAATTCCTCCACCCCGAGATCAGCGACTATTTTAGGACTTTCAGAGAAAAATGTCGCTGGCATGGAATTATCCTGTCTTGTCTTCTTGGCTGCTTCAGGATCTTCGTAAGTATGCTCCTTGGTATTTGAGGTTTGGTCTTCAGATTCCTTGTAGTTCCGGATTTTAAGTCTTCGACTCATAAAGACTGCGATTAAAACGATGCTGCTTAAGAGGATCACGGCGTAAAAAGGGATTGTCGTATGATATAGAGCTTCTTCCTGTGTCTGTTCCAGTTGTAGATTTGGTTCCGTCATGATTCTATTCTGGATGCTGTGTAGCCTTTGCAAATCTATAGAGTCCAATTTAAGGTGTTGCGGTTTGATAGTACTTGCATTGCTGTAGGGGATCTTCATGAGTTTTAGAGGCTGGCCGTTGATTTCATCATTCTCGTTGATGATGGTGAATTCAGCTGTCTTCAGGTAGCACTTTAATGGGATCTTGATTAGGTAGCTACCTTGTAGGGATGTGGTGTCTTGGCTACTGCAGGTCGATTGTACCCTTGTTGAATGTGGGAACGATATCACGTAGTGTTGATCGTCGAGCTTCTCTAGGGCTTCCTTGGCTAAGGAGACAGTAGTGAACTGGCAGGATTCGCTAAGCGTCTGCGTTGTGATGAGCTTCTGTATGCAGTCCGGTTGCGCACGGAGCTGAGTACTTATCTTTCGTTCGCAGAGGTACCAGGAACTCAACTTCGGGCATTCAGCCTCCATGTACACGAATGATTTCTCGTTAGTTGCCATGAAAGGAAAGGGTGGTATGAGGATTTGTTGGTCCTTGTTTGGGACTAGGGATAGTCTATAAAAACTAAATTCTTCTTTAGAAACTATGGGGAATTTGAAAATTACAACTACTTGTTTCCCTAGATAATAATAACCTGATTTAATAACGTCGTAATAATCTCTATATGCTACATTTAAAATCTGCTCCTTATTGTATAGTTTCTCAAGTTTATTTAACATAGTTTTTAGTACGTTTACAGTAATCATGGAATGATGTGTGGTCCCAACTCGGATAAAAGCTAACATATTTTCTACTCTCATTAATTCGACTATAATATCTTCTACGTTTTCACTAAGTATATCTAATAATTGAGCAAATTTAGCGTATTTTATTAAGTTACTTTGTTTATAGGCATCCTTTTCTAGTAATAACTCTAAAGTAGAATTTATCTTACTTTGATTATCGACAATTTTGTTAAGGATTGCGTGATATTTAAACATCCATTCTTTATTAAGACTTGTTCGACTATTGGATTCGGATACAATTTTGTTTTGGTTATTCTGCAGTTCTTTAATAAGTGTGTTATATCGAATAGCGTCTGAATGATCTAAATTTCCTGTAATGCTTTTCACTACTGATCCTAATCCGTCTATAAGTCCTCTTTTAACACGATTTTCAGGTTCTAAGGATTGTAGTTGGGTTAGTGCGTTATTTATTTTACTAGAAAGATAATCTATTTGAAGTTCGTACAACAAGAAGGTGTCATTAGGAAGTCGAGAACGGTAAGTCTGTAGTTGAGTCTGTACTAGGTTGATATTATTTTCAAGTTCGTCTAGTCGTATGTATTGTAGGAAAGTATGATATTGTTCAGTAAGTCTCGCTGTTCCAAGTTTATAAGGTAGTAGTCCCGGTCCCTCAGCTAGGCTTTCAAGTCTGATCTCTTGAGCTCTCGTCATTTGGCTGGTCAGTATCAGGATTAGTCTGCAACAATTTGGCTGAATGAGGAATTCGTTTCAATCGTGATTTTGCTATAGGGCCGCGTTTCTTTGATGTATATATGTGAATGGGTAAGTCTGCAAGTACTGTATCATGGGTAAAACGTGGAGCTGTTTTTTGTCGGTCGGCAGAAGGGTTCTTAATGAAAATTTGTTGTGAAGGTAAGTATTCTATTTCAGGTTCCCTGTTCTTATTGCAATTATTTATAAGAGCTGTACGATCGGCAAGAGCTGTCTCATTAATAATTTCATAAACCTTTTTTATCTGTTCTCTGTGATTTTGTACGTACTGTTGTAATAGATGTTGTGTTAAATCGATTGAAATAGGGTCTCTGGGGTTAAAATGTCCAGTAAGTAGATCGAAGGGTCGACATTTAGTGAAACTATGTATGGAACTATTATAAGCTATTATAGCATAAGGCATAAGGTTTATGATGGGTTCATCTTTTTGCTGTAATTTCAGGATGCGAAGATGCTCAAGGAGTGTAGAATGAAAACGTTCTACATTGCCATTGTCATTAGGGGAATGTGCGAGTATTCTATGGTGGTTTATTTGATATAATCTAACAAATTCAGAAAACAGTTGGTTGGTAAACTCGGTTCCGTTGTCAGTCACAATAGTCAATGGTACTCCATGGTGGGTACAGTATGTTAACAAAGCCTGTAATATGCTAACTGCTGTTCCATCTCGTAAATGATAAGCTTGACCATATTTAGTAAATACGTCAATAAACGTTATGTATTTTTCATTGTGTGCTGTGAACAGATCCATGTGTATAATTTCGAAGGGCTTAGTCGCAGGAGGTACTATATTAAACTGAGGTCTAATGGGATTACGGTCATATTTACCTTGACCACATATTGTGCATTCGTTAATGAATTTAGTTATGTGGTCCTTCATCTTAGGCCAATAATATTTCCGGGACAGAGCTAAATAACTTTCGGTTATTCCACGATGGTTGGTTTTGCCTTCGTGATACAGGCGGATGATATCTTGCTGACGCAAATATTCCTTGACATTTTCTAGCTCTGTTTTGGCAAGAACAAGATTCATAGCTGAACTTCGAAATTTATCTTGGAGTATTGGGATAATTGAATACATAGCTAGAGGTGGGTGTATCATGATAGCTGTTTTGACTTTTGGGTTGACGTAATCTTTGATAGCTTTAACAACGTCTTCTTCTAGGTTAGTTTCGGAGAGTTGTATGGAAATTCGCGTGTGTGTATCGAAAGGTTTTGTTACTACGGGTCTGCGTTTTACATCTTCTACGACTGTAAGGGATATTTGCCTATTAAATTTATTAAGTGGGTCATTTACAATAGGTATCTCTAAGATGGGATGTTCGTTACTGGTATGAGCAGTTTCAGTGGATGATCTATGTTCACGGTTCGGAGGTAAGCTTTCAGATGGATTTCCTATCAGCGAACTAAGTTCTTTGAGATTGTCTATTATTGAGTCTATCTCCTCGTTGTGAATCTCGATACGTGAAAGGGCATCAGCATTAGTGTTGGCCTTGCCTTTTTTGTAGATCACAGTAAAGTCGTATTCACTAAGTTTCAGTCGCCACCTGGTGAGACGAGAATTAGGTTCTTTCAAATTCATCATCCACTGCAGGGGTTTGTGGTCAGTCAGTATCTTAAACTTCCTTCCAAATAAATACGGGCGAAAGTATTTAGTAGCCCAGACTATAGCAAGAAGCTCCTTTTCAATAGTGCTATAATTTTGTTCACTTTCGTTCAAAGTGCGTGAGGCATAGCAAACAGGTTTGTCAGCTCCTATGGGTCCTTGGGATAGTATTGCTCCAATAGCGAAATTAGAAGCATCAGTTGTTAGAAGAAATTCTTTATTAAAATCAGGATATTGTAATATAGGGTCGTTTGTTAGGAGAGTTTTGCATTTTTCGAAGCTTTCTACGTAGTCTGGATCAAATGTTATTTTCTTACCCTTTTTAAGACATTGTGTAAGGGGCTTGGTTATTTTGGCAAAATCTGGGATAAATTTTCGGTAATAACCGAGAAGTCCTAAAAATTGCTTTATTTCCTTTGGTGTTTTTGGAATGGGGTAGCCTTTGATAGCTGTGATCTTATCGGGATTTGGTTTAATACCATCTTTTGCAATGATGTGGCCAAGGTAAGCAGTTTCGAGCTTAAGGAATTCGGACTTATCCATTTGGATTTTAAAGTTCGATTCCCTAAGTCGCTGGAAGACTTTTTCCAGGTTGAGGATGTGCTCCTGGAGCGAGGTGCTGAAGACCACGATGTCATCGAGATACACTAGGCATATCTCGTTTTGGAGCCCTCTCAACACGTTATCCATTACGCGTTGGAAGGTCGAGGGTGAATTCTTAAGGCCCATGGGCATACGAAGAAATTCGTAATGTCCATGTTCCACGTTAAATCCGGTTTTTGGGATGTCCTGGGGGTGCATTTCTACCTGATAGAAGCCACTTGCCAAATCTAGGGTACTAAAATACTGACACTTCCCTAATTTGTCAAGTACGTCATTAATGTTTGGTATTGGGTACTTATCGTCTATAGTTTTTTCATTGACTTTTCGGAAGTCGACTACAAGTCTCCACTTTTGCTTACCCGAAGCATCTAATTTTTTTGGGACTACCCATATTGGTGAGCTCCATGCTGAGTCAGATGGTCTAATTATACCTTGCTCCAGCATTTTATCTATTTGATCGCGAACTTCTTGTCGGTGGATAAATGGGTACCGATAACTTTTTGTGTGGACTGGGATTTCGTCAGTTGTTCTTATTTGATGTTTGATTTTATTGGTAAAGGTTAGTGCTTCGCCTTCTACGTAAAACACGTCAGAATAACGAGAGCAAAGAGCTACGAGGTTAGCTTTTTCCTCGGCATTTAAATGTTCAGTTCGAAGTCGCGAGATTACATCTTCAGTTCGAGATTGAGGTCGTTTAGTTTGTTCAAAATTAGTATTATATAACTCTGCGTGAGCTGGCCGATCTAATGAAAAGATTATATCGTTTACTGTAGGGTTTTCAATCTCTAAGTAAGCACGGTTATTAACTACTGTAGTAAGGCAATCGTGAATGATACAATTACATATTATCTGTTCCTTAATATAAACTTCGCCATCCTGGGTATCTATAGGAACTCTAATCAACTTCGAAGACTGCGCGGGAATAATATCTTCATAAAGATTAACATTGTAAGAATTGTACATTTTAATTGGGTTGGATGATGATCGAGTAACAAGTGTCTTTTCTTTCAGGTCTATCTTGGATTCCCATTTAGTTAGGAGGTCTAATCCTATTAGTCCGTCAAAATAGTCATGGAATTGGTAAATGAAAAGTTTTATAAAGTCTTTGTCGTTAAATTCGTTAAATCATGGTAATGTTATGGAGTAGTCGTTACGGCTAGTAGCGTGTACATTTGTCACTTCAAACGGGTCATAGTTAAGAGTATAGTTACTGAAATAATTATCGACAGCTTTTGGACTTATAAAAGACTGGTTTGCACCAGTGTCTATAAGCAATTTCAATGGGGGATCAAGGATTTGTACGTAGGGCAGCTGTCTCTGGGTTTGAAGATTTATTTCTATTTTGGTTTCTTTGATAATGGATTCCTGTGAAAATCCTGGTTAGAGGTACTGGGTCCAGGCTGTGGTTCGTTAATGTCACATAAGTCAGTATTGTCTGGGATAGCATTAGGGGTATCACTTTGATCGGGGTTATCGTAAGAACTGCTACAGTAATAGTCGTAGTCAATTGGTCCATTGTAGCCATAGTAGTCAGTGTCATCGTAATATTCAGTCGGATAGTAGGGTATGTCATAATTATAAAACTCATTAAAATTCATCTCACGAGTTTTGAAGTAATTAGAGGGAGGAGGGTTCCCTGACCTACGCCAGTCATGTCCAGTCATCAAAGTGTGGGGTAACTGTCTAGGTGTAAAAGTTTGGACTCCGCTCATAGGTTTTGGGGCTACGTTCTGTGGTGGATTAGTTCTATTAGGTATGCGAAAAACGTTACTATTGGGGTTGTAGTTAGGGGGTGCAGCTCGAAACATTTGCTGAGTTCGACTTGGGCCCATACGTTGTGGGTATTGAGCGGGCGGATTATTAAATTTAAAAGCCTGAGGTGGTGGATGGTATCCACGTTGACCTGCCGGTGCTGGCCACATGGGTGGTTGCATAAAATGGGGTCGCGGCTGAGGTGGTGGCAGTGATAGTAACGGGGGAGGCACCTTTGGTACATGGTGACTTTTGGGTGCATCTCCTCGTTGCTGCAAATAAATAACATTTAGTTCCTCCTGTACATATTCAAGAGCTTTCTCGATAGTGGGCGGGCGCATGCAACGGATGCGCGACCCTAAGGGTTCGTTTAGCCCCCTAACAAAGGCTTGCATAGCTACTTTCCTATAGAGATTGCGTTTTGCTTCTATCGTTGTACTTATTATCTCGTGTAGGCTAATGTAAGTCATAATAGTGCTGAATAGGGTTTGGCAATGTTCGTAAAACTCTTGGGGTGACTTGTTCCCTTGAGTTGCCAGGGATAAATCGCTATAAAGGGCTGTTTCATCCCTTTGGTCAGAAAAGTTATTAATCAAAGCTGTTCTAATGCCTAACCAATTGTCTGGAATTCCGTTTGAGTTGAGAGTGGAAGCAGCGTTACCAGAAATTTTGTTAAGTATTCCGTTCAGTAAGCAATCGTTAGTAAAACTGTACTCTGGGCCTTCCTTAACATATTCAGTCACTATTCGGTCACAAATATTAATAAATCTGGTTAATATATTCGGGTTCCCGTCAAAATCGGGTACAAGGCGAAGGGCCTTGAAAATTGTATCCGTATCCATTCTAACAGGAGCTACACTTTCAGTGGGGTTGCCTGATGACATCATTATCAAATTTAAATCAGCTAATAAATCTGTATCTATATCCCTATATAAATCTACAGCGTGTTGGCGAGCCTGTTGCGATACAGGTTGCTGAACTCTTAAACTCTTAGGATGAAAAATTTTTACGTCTTTTAAAAACTAGGAATAATGGAATAAGGAAAAGCAACACGAGAAAAATTCAAGTGTACTTACATGTACAGCATAACTGGTTTTCCCTCTGGAATCGATATTTGGATTCTCCTCTGGTCTGCAGCAGGTCCGTAGATTCAGGATCCTCGGCCAACGGGGCTAGGAAGCCGCCCGGGCGACTCGCGATCGCGGAATTGCTATACAGATCCCTAATTATTCGCGAATCGGCCGCGAGGATCCTACCGACTGCGCCAATTACGTTTGTTACAGCCGGAGGATCGAAAAAAAACCAATTATTTTTATATGAGTTTAATAGAAAAGAAAAATTTACATGTAAAAATTACGTCTAAATAACCTAACGATCGGTTCGAGGTCGGAACCAGAATGCCTTCGAAATATTAATGAATTGAACAGCATAAGAATGCAGCGTCGGCAACTCGTGGCAGCTTGGCCTTGGTGTCGGTGCATCGTAGTAAGCCGTGGTTGCTACGTAAGCGATCTTCCTTACGTCCATTTACGTAATTCCCTAGTAAACACAAGCCTACAGTGATTACTTTGGGGCTAGGCTAATAGGTGTGTGTTAAAAAATTAAAAAATTACAAAATATTGATGCCTTAAACGGGTTTAATTTTATTTTCATTCAGGAGAGAATGCTAGAGTTTATACAGAAACAAGTCGAAAGAGGTAAAAAGCAAACCACAAGAAGCGAAACTGAGCCCACATATACGGAGTTTAAGAGAGAGAGTAGTCAGGAAAAGGTTACGTTAAGTTTGAACTTGAAGAGGAAAACTGAAGGTAAGTTAAATCTAGATTTATATTGTTAAGAGCAAATATGTATTTCGACAGTTGAAAATCAAAATCGCTTAAATGCCACTTTGGTGCAGCTTAAAAATTATCTTAAAATATAAAAATCAATTGCTGTTTGTTAGTCTAGCTAAAACTCGAGAACGGCTGAACGGATTAATCTTATCTTGGTCTTGAATTGTTCGTGGAGGTCTAGGGAAGATTTAAAAGGTGAGTAAATATGGAAAATTTGTGAGGCAGATAGTGAAAATGTCTACTTAATTTTCCCATATAAACTGTTCTATCATCTTTCCTGTCAATCATTTGACGTTCGTCCCTTTTGGTACGTTAGACTCAGTACCCTTAATACGAGTTTTACAATTACGAAAACTATGATAGTTTTCGTGAGCTCGCCCTCGTACTAAAGGTACTGATTTTATTGTTTTCGTTTCAATACAAATAAACAGTGTTTAAATTCTATCATAAAATTGTTTGCGTCTTCTTAAATTTAAAGAATATTTGGTTACTTTTCACCAAAATGGACATAGAAACATAATTTACAATTACGAAAACTATGATAGTTTTCGTGACCTCAAACTCGTACTAAGGGTACAGGTCCGTCATCCAAATTATTTTAACCCCGTACGAAGTACGCGGGGTCAACTGGTATATATATATATATATATTAGTGATGCGTGTGCTGCTCTATTCCTATCTGAAGTTTCACTTCAGATGTGTGCTCCATGCACACTAATTCTTTTTTTATTCACTTATAATAATTAGAAAAATTTGGCCATTTATTAGACGAAAGTCCAGTTCATCTCCTTACCAACATCACAACGAATTGATAGAAAAATTTATTGTGTTCGTAGAAAATAAACCAGAGACACTGCAGACTGTCTCTTTCAAGTTGAAGGGAAAAGATAAAGATGAGAAAGATGGTTCATCTACCTCCAGTAAAAGAGTTAAGACGGAGGAGGGCAAGAGCAGGACAGCGTTAGAAGAAGTCATGGAAATGGAGGAGCGAGCGAAAGAGAGAGCCAATCGGTAAGTTTGTATGTAAAACAAAAATTGGATATACATAGTTTTTTAAGCGGTTACCTCAGTTTCTCAAGATGCAATCATCATCAATAGCCTATTAGTGTCCCCACTGCTGGTGCACAGCCCTTCTCTATCGATGGAATGTGGAGATTGGACCATGACCCACCACGCTGGCCCAGTGCGGATTGGCGGGTGCTAACGAATGCAGATGCAGCTGGGACCAACGGCTTAACGTACCTTCCGAAGCACGGAGGAACTCGAGATAGAAGATTTTTGGTCACCCATCCAGTGACCGACCACTGCGAAAGGTGCTTAACTTCAACGATCGCAGCCGAACGCGCTAAGCACCTGCGCCATCGAGCTCCTCATGTCATGTGTAATAGTTATTTATGATATTAGTACGTTGCGTTGCGTTACAAACGACAAATGTACTATTGTCACAAGTTTGTAAGTATCAATTCCTCACCATAATCAAAAAATGTTTTGAAACACATTTGCGAGAAAACAGTATCTATAGCTTATTTAAATTAATGAAACAAATTAACTTTAAAGAAAATATAACTAGAAAAAATTCCACGCGGACCAGGCAGCACACGGGACTCGAACCCGCACCCTTCGCAATCCGGGCGAACGCAATGACCAATTATGCTACCGCGGCCCTGACGGCCGCGTCAAAATTCCTCTAGCCACTCTTAAGCTGCAAGGCAGCGTCATCTCCTCGCATTATAGGTAACCCACAATGTCAAATGAATACTTTTACAATTCCTAGTCCGCATGGATTTTTTTCTAGTTATATTTTCTTTAGATTTAAAAACCAAGCAGTTACATGCTTTAAAATAAAATAAAATAATAATCTATACCTTATTTAAATTAATGAAACAAATTTAACTTTTTTAATAAGAAAACGGCGCGAAATTTCCAAATGGCGCCACGTGCGGTCGGTGAAAATAAGAACCTTTTTCCTTTCCTCCTTATTAGTATTAAAGTGAGACAAAGGTATAGATTAAAAGCGTTGTCAAAGAGGTTCGACCGGAATAAAAAGAAAACCGTAAAGGATACGCACGGCGCCGTGTATGGGAGCGTGCGGTAAAAAAGTTACCGCACGCTACGTTATATGACCCGTAAGTTTGAAATCTCTAAAAAGTATACAACCTTTGTAAATGCATGTTACGAGCAAATGTGTTGAAAATACATAAATCAACGAATGTATGTCGTCGCTGTCATTTCAAAAAGTCGTAAGTATAAATAGGCTTAAATTCAGGAAACACAAAATACTGTTTTTTTTTTCTACGACACTTCAACAAGTAATTTTCTTTATAATGTGAAAAGGCTTCATGTCTCCTTTAAAGAGATTCAAACTAAATCCCAGGTATTTGGAACAATACATATGTACCTTTTACAATATTTTAAAATTAAAAATTAAAGTTACATATAATTGTAATTTTTGTTTTTTAAGCATGTAATTGCTTGATGTTTAAATCTAAAGAAAATATAACTAGAAAAAATTCCACGCGGACCAGGCAGCAGACGGGATTCGAACCCTTCGCAATCCGGGCGAATGCACTGACCAATTATGCTACCGCGGCCCTGACGGCCGCATCGAAATTCTTCTAGCCATTCTTAAGGCGCTGCTTTGCAGTTTGTAAAGTTACATAATTTTACATACCTACGACAATTTGAAGACAGCGAAGGTGTGATGTTCTCCAATATAATTGTTTCTTTATAGCAAAGACTACTGGCTATGTGAGGACATAATCGTCAAAATCGTGACAAAATCACTCGGCGACAAGTTCTACAAGAAGAAGGGCACCATAGAGAAAGTAATAGACAAGTACGGAGCGCAAGTCAAGCTCATAGACGAGAACGTCAAGTTAAAACTGGATCAGGTATGATTTTAATGCACAAAATTCTTATCTTTTTTTTTTCAAACCTTCAACAAACAATAGGGATGATGACAAATTTTTTTTCTTCGTTTATCAGGTAGATTATCAAAAAGTATTGGACACGTATTTTTTCTTTTTTCACATAATATAAACATTGCAGAGATATATTGATTTGAAAAGTCGAATGACGTCACGTTTTGGTACAATTTTCACTTAAAAGTGACGTCACGAGCCCCTACTCCCAAACTTTGACGCCCTATAACTTTGTCATTTTTTGGTTGATTGCCCAAAGAAAAAATACGTGTCCATTATTTTTTGATCATCTAACTGACGGACTAAATAAAATTTCGTTTACTGTACCCCGTCATCACCCCTATTGTGGAGCTGGCGAAGAAAACGGTATAATTACGCATATGGAAAAACTACTTTTATTTACAGTCCGGAGTTATCAAGCCCGTGGAATTTGAATCTCAAATAATTTTCAATCAAAACCGCCTAAAACAGTGTTAAAATTACTAAATTTATGAACTAAAAACCATGCCAAAAGCTCACTGGAGGTATGTCATTTTGTTTTATACAGCTCCTGTAAAAAATAATTTTATGTATAATGCGATTCAACTAAGAATAGGATCGACTGGGCGCCATTTTGTGATGTCAAAGCTGTCAATTGAAACAAAATAGGTAGAGTGAGCAATAAAAGTTTTTCTTTGATAAAACTTATTTACTAAGATTAAGTGAGAAAAAACATCAGGTTTTTTTTTAATAAAACTTATTTACTAAGATTAAGTGAGAAAAAACATCAGATTTTATTAATAAAATTTATTTACTAAGATTGAGAAAAAAAAACATATGGGTTAGGAGGAATGTTATCCCAGGAAATTGATAGACCACTACGTTACACACCCCTAAAATTTTTTTTGGACAATATTATTTTTTTACTTATCCCTAAATTTTTTCTTCTACCACCTGCCTTTTTATGGCGGTACTAAGTTCGCTGGGTCAGCTTGTAAACTATAAATCTCTCGCAAAACACGTCCATACCTGTCAACTTTTGTTTATAAACTAAATGTTACACCCAATGAATGCACGCCATAATATTTATTTTTAATATAAATATTAATAAATATTTCCAACACTCACACCAATTAGCCTAGCCCCAAAGTAAGCACTCTAAGGCTTGTGTCATGGGATACTAGGGTAACGGATAGAATACATATACAGTACATATAAGTATATTTATATAGAAATACATATTAAACATCCATGACTGGAGTACATATGCTCGTGTTCATCACACAAACATCTGCCCCCACCGGGATTCGAACCCGGGACCTCTCGAGTCGGCGACACCATGAAACCCGGCGTACAAACCACTCGGCCACGACGTCTATATATAAATATAATATAGATTGAATATGAATAATTAAAGTACATATTGATTTGAATACCATACCATTGTAACTAAGTGAGTAATGGTACCATTTTGTTACTAAAAAGTCTGGACTTTTTTTCGAAATGTCGGGACTTTTGAAATTTCTAAATGGTAACCCTACCTGTGCCCCACCAGTGGGTATATTAAAAGGCTGACAATAATGAGTCTACTTGAGCCGACTGGTATTGCAAGAGACGATGGCAAGAGACCAGACGGTATGAGTTTGATTCCGGCCCGGTACTGGTATGGGAACCTGTTCTGACACGCTGGCCCCTTACCATCTACATGGAACCAACAATTAGGGCTTCCAATCCCGCAGCCTATCTTTAATCTCGGTACTTGCGGGATTGCAAATTTTCGATCCCGCGGGATTCCGGTATTTGCGGGATCCCGCATAGAAATTAATGATATTAATTATTAAGCTAAATAAAACAACGAAACAATCAACGTATTTAAACTTTTATTATAGTTTACCCTTTAAATTTTAAATATTACACATAAAAAAATAACACTGCACTTCTTAAAGTTCTATTGAGATTAAAATCAATCTATGTTAAACATACTGTAAGGAACTAAGGACCTCAATTATAATTTAAGACAAATTATTAAAATATCAAAGGACAATGCCAGAAGTTCTATAGATGTTTAACCCACCCGATAAAAATGGTGTACACGAATGCGATAAATGACATTTCATAGCTGTAATATTAGGAATCAAATAGTAAAGTTCTAAATTCTCTAGAAGCTGTGGTTATTGAATAATATACTTACAAAGAGTACAATTATCATGCGTTTCTCGAGCTGCAATTTGAGCAGAAAATTGGAATTTCTGTAAATTATTCAACAGTGTCTGTATGTAGCTGATAGTGTATAAACGACATGCCTTTGTATTCTAGCGACACATAAATAACAATTTATGCATCTCAACATGGTTCCAAATCACAAACGACAATGTCGTACAAATCCTTTTGTTTGACAGAAATGTCAATCAAAAGGATATCAATCCAGAATAACGTTTAGTTTCACATAGGTACTACCACTTAATAATGTGTATGCGCATAAAAAAATACTATAATCGTCAAACTTTTTTATAAACATAAATTAATTATATTTTTAGCCGAAATGCTTATTTTATCCATAATATTAAAAAAGAGAACGGTATTTTTCGAAAACTTGACTGGCATTTTATTGTTTGACGTGAAACAAAACGCATATGCCATGTTTTCGTTCTTCTCCTAACGGAAACAGATACAAATTATTTTAATATTTATTTCGTATCCGCCGCTTTTACAAAGTAATAATTAAATCGGTACGAGAAAAAAAGTCGTATATATTTTTTCATAAATTTAATATTACTGTATATGGTGGGCCAGAATCTGTCATTGTCATTTATTATTTGCTTCGACCAATATTTTGTTGAAAATGTTTGCGAAGAAAGCATAACATATCTAAGGTGTCGTCAGCCAAACTACTAGTGCTCGAGCCATCGCGCTCGCGACGAGACGTTTAGCATGTGCCTTTTTGTAGTCCCGCAAATCCCGCGGGATCCCGTGCTCGTAATCCCGCTAGGAGCGGGACTGGAAAAAGGCGCGGGATCTCGGAATACCGGGATTGGAAGCCCTACCAACAACAGAGCTGGTGCGGCTTGTGAAGCGGCTGAAAAAGCAAAAGCATGCGAATACAGGGGTCTAGGCTCCGAATATGATTTTGTCCCATTCGGTGTCGAGACCCTTGGTCCGTGGGGTCCTAGCGCTATGAGGTTTTTTAAGGAAATATCAAAAAGGTTAGTCGACATCACTGGAGACCGAAGAGCTGGCAGCTACCTCGGACAAAGAATTAGTCTAGCTATCCAAAGGAGGAACGCTGCCAGTATCTTCGGAACCTTGCCTAAAGGGACTCCATTTAGTAATATATTTTAGTTATTATATTATATTTTTTAGGGTTTTTAGTTTAAGGTTCATTGTTCCTGTATATATTAATGTGCGATAATGACTATACATTGTTGTTCCAGAACCATTTGGAAACAGTTATCCCTTCACCGGGCAGACAAGTTAGATTCGTGAATGGTGCATACAGAGGTCTTATTGGAATATTAAAAGATGTCGACACAAAAAGCTTTTGTTGCCAAGTAGAGGTAAGTCTTGAGTTTTCCCTTTCCTCTAATACCTTTCATCCTCCTATCCCCCTTTTCACCCTCAAATCCCATTTTACCTATCAATCCCCACTATCACCCACCAATCTCCTATTATCACCCATCAATCCGCACTGTCAACCACCAATCTCCTATTATCACCCATCAATCCGCACTGTCAACCACCAATCTCCTATTATCACCCATCAATCCCCACTGTCAACCACCAATCTCCTATTATCACCCATCAATCCGCACTGTCAACCACCAATCTCCTATTATCACCCATCAATCCGCACTGTCAACCACCAATCTCCTATTATCACCCATCAATCCGCACTGTCAACCACCAATCTCCTATTATCACCCATCAATCCCCACTGTCAACCACCAATCTCCTATTATCACCCATCAATCCGCACTGTCAACCACCAATCTCCTATTATCACCCATCAATCCCCACTGTCAACCACCAATCTCCTATTATCACCCATCAATCCGCACTGTCAACCACCAATCTCCTATTATCACCCATCAATCCCCACTGTCAACCACCAAACTCAACACAATTATTTTGCAATCACTTACTGGGACCGTTTCATCGTTGTTTAATTGTATGCACTTACGTTAATAAAAATACTTTGTATTTTTTAATTATTTTTGTTATTGTAAAATTGTTGTTTGCCAAGCACCTTGTATACGCTAAGCCTGTTTTGAGCATTGCCCTTTATAAATAACATTAGAGGTCCAAGCACGAACTCTGGCAAATACGTAATCATGTCGCATCGTCAAAGTTTGTATGAAAACTAAGCAGCGCCACCTACCGGGTGTAAGAACAAACTGGCTCCTTCCATACAAAAAATTGACAACGACGATACCACACAGCACCCTTAGCACAAACCCAATATCGAATTCGAATAGTTTGCGAGTGCGAAATGTCAATACCAAATTTTGCATGGAAACTTGAACAGCAGCGCCACAAAGTTCGTAACGAGAACTAAAAATCAGTACACATTTGACAATGACATTTCGGATTCGCAAACGTTACGAATTCGATATTGGTTCGTGCTAAGGGAGGAGCTCGATGGCGCAGGTGGTTAGCGCGTTCGGCTGCGATCGTTGTAGTTAAGCAACTATCGCAGTGGTCGGTCATTGGATGGGTGACCAAAAAATTCTATCTCGAATTCCTCCGTGCTTCGGAAGGCACGTTAAGCCGTTGGTCCCGGCTGCATCTGCAGTCGTTAGCACCCGCCAATCCACACTGGACCCGCGTGGTGGGTCATGGCCCAATTTCCGTATTTCATCCATAGGGAAGGCCTGTGCCCCAGCAGTGGGACATTAAGAGGCTGATGATGAAGGGTACAGGTGGGTAAGACAAGTCGTTTAAACTCTTCTTTAATAATTGATGTTGCCATTTAAAAATTATAATTTTTGTTTTGTTTCGTTTCCAGATTTCCGAGGGCCCTCTCACTGGGCGGTTAGTTAAAAAAGTGCAGTATGAAGATATATGCAAAATAGCCACGTAAACAAACATTATTATTTTATACCTAATTGTAAATAAATTATTAGAATTCTAACACCAAGTGTTTTTATGTTATTACTGAACTAGCAAACCAGTGAACCAAATGTACACCAAAAAAAAATGTATTTAATTAATTGAGAACTTTTGAAATTCGTGATTTCTCGAAAACCGGAAGTGCTACGTTACTCAAATCCGGTTTGTAGTCTTATCAGACTATTCTTAACTTATAACTTAAATATTCTCTTTATCTATCTCTTACGGTTTGGCCGCTGAAACAGCACCATAGACGGACGGACGGACTTGTCTAATAGATAAGAGATTCTTTAATTAAAGAATTTTTATTATTATATAAATATAAAATTTCCAACACTCACCAATTAGCCTAGCCCCAAAGTAAGTACTGTAAGGCTTGTGTTATGAGATGCTAGGGTAACGGATAGAATACATATACTGATACATATATAAGTATATTTATATAGAAATACATATTAAGCTTTCATGACTGGAGTAGAAATGCTCGTATTCATCACACATACATCTGCACCCACCGGGTTCGAACCCGGGACCTCTGGAGTAGGCGACATCTTGAAACCCGGTATTCCTAGTATCCCATAACACAAGCCTTACAGTGCTTACTTTGAGGCTAGGCTAATTGGTGTGAGTGTTGGAAATATTTATTTATTTATTCCTTACATAGCAGTGTTGGGCAAAATGTAAGTAACTTTAACAATTTCAATTACAAATTGTAATTGGTGACTTTAATTACAAATTACTTGAAATTATTGAAATATAATTCCATTATTAATTAAAATTAGCAATTGTAATTGTAAATTGCAATTACTCAATTATTTATATACAGGGTGTTACAAAAATACAAATAAAGCTTGTAGGGCGTTGAAGTACATCATATAAGGAGTCTTCTCTAATTTTCTTAAAATATTTGCATGAAGTTTTAATTTTTTATAAAAACAGTTATTTTAATGATTAATAAAAATATCGATCTTTTTAAGACACGACACTAGTTCGAGGATCATTAAAAATAACTGTTTTTATAAAAAGCTAAAACTTCATGCAAATATTTTAAGAAAATTAGAGAAGACTCCTTATATGATGTACTTCAACGCCCTTCAAATTTATTTGTATTTTTGTAACACTCTGTATAAACTATTTTTAAGATGAGGTAGTATTTTTAATAAAACTATTAAATTATGATTTATCAAGTGTTTATTTACGAAATAGATCAGATAAATTGTGTAATGTACAACCACCTTTTTTAAAATTAAGACAATAAATGATTGATTTATTTTAAATTAGACTTTAATACTATCTACTAACCACTCGACCTCCTTGGCCGAGTGGTTTGTACGCCGGGTTTCATGGTGTCGCCGACTCGAGAGGTCCCGGGTTCGAATCCCGGTGGGGGCAGCTGTTAGTGTGATGAATACGAGCATTTGTACTCCAGTCATGGATGTTTAATATATATTTCTATATAAATATACTTATTTAAGTACAGTATATGTATTCTATCCGTTACCCTAGTATCCCATAACACAAGCCTTATAGTGCTTAGCTTGGGGCTAGGCTAATTGGTGTGAGTGTTGGAAATATTTATTTATACTACTCTTTGTTCAAACATTTGATCAGAAAGTTTGTGAGATTTTGGTAAATTAATCATTGTAGCATATGAGAACAATCAATCGAAATAAAATTGTACTCCGCCGAGAGACTAGAAAAGGGACTGGTAGCTGTGTAGGTACTGATAACGAGGCACACACTTACACACTCATAAATTCATGGCACATTATACACTAAAAGTTTGTTTGTGTTGTGCTGCGTACGGGCATGAAGCTAATAACCGCTTAGTTTTAGTAGTTTCATCATCATCATCAGCCTATTAATGTCCCCACTGCTGGGGCACAGGCCTTCCCTATGGATGGAATAGGGAGATTGGACCATGACCCACCACGCGGGCCCAGTGCGGATTGGCGGGTGCTAACGACTGCAGATGCAGCCGGGACCAACGGCTTAACGTGCCTTCCGAAGTACTGAGGAACTCGAGATAGTAAATTTTTGGTCACCCATCCAATGACCGACCACTGCGAAAGTTGCTTAACTTCAACGATCGCAGCCGAACGCGCTAACCACTTGCGCCATCGAGCTCCTCCTTAGTAGTTTATGCTACCCATAAAAAGTAATTAAGTAATTTGAATTACAAACTAATGTAATTTAAATTACTTCGGTCTTAAGTAATTGAATTACAGTAATTTCAAATACATGTAATTTATATTAAAGTATTTCAACTACTATTCATTGAATTAGTAATTAAATTACAAAAGTAATTAATTACGCCCAACACTGACATTTCATGATAATGACAAACTATTGTTAAGTTTATAAATAACACAAATAGCCAAGTGAAGTGCGCGCATTACTGTACACGCTTGCAATACTAGAAGCCTACCCTGCAAAGCTCTGTCAAATTAAATGACAAAATTCGACGCAGTTTTCGCGTCCTTTGTTCTTCTACACTCCCAGTCCACATTATTATTGAAGTTATACTTCTTTAGCCGCGTTATGAAAAAATTATGAGAGTGAAATTTTAAGATGCGCGCGCATCACTGTAACACAAAAGTAACATAATGAAGTTAGCCGCGGGCGCGTTATGAAAAAATGATGAGAGTGAAATTTTAAGATACGCGCGCAACACTGTAACAGAAAAGTAACACCATGAAGTCGGCTGCTAAACCGCACATTACTCGTAAGTCTCGGAAAAAAGCTTCCAACAAAATAGTAATAGGATCTCTTAGTCGCACATGTTGGGACGCTCGTCGCCTCTCTCTGATCACTGTTTTCATATTTATATTATTTATTATTTAATAAAACTGTAAGAATGTGCGGGAGGGCGAAGGGGGAGTGTGAGAAGTCTGACGTCAAATAAAGATAGGCGTAGGTAGAAAATACTTATATTGTGATCACTATTCAATATTTGTAGGAGAAATGGTATTACTGTATCCCACAAGGGTGGAAGTACATGTATACTATTATCAAGACACTAAGACGTCCCACGTGGTGGAAGCGTATAGCGTGCAAGACAGTAGGCCCTACCTACGAAGCGATGACTTGGTCAATTTCCCAAGAACACCTTATACAAGTGGTGTCAGTATAGTATAGCACGATTCACATGCGTACAGCGCCATCTAGTAGCGGTCGGCGTGATGATATTTGATCGTATGATGTGCCATACAATCGGTGTCGGTATAGGATAGCGCGATTCACATGCGTACAGCGCCATCTAGTAACGGGCGGCGTGATGATATTTAATACTATGGTGTTACTAAAATAATGGTGGATTATTAACCAGTGGTTAATAATCCACCATTATTTTTACCACCATTATTAACCACTAAGTGGTTAATAATCCACCATTATTAGACATCTGTTCGAAAGGTACTTTGAACGATCCACGGAGCTCCATAAGATGATCGCGTTGTCAAAAACAATGTTGGCACGCTCGTCGCCTCTGATCACTGTTTTCACATTTATAATATTTATCCACATGTTTCTAGTTTCTATATAGACACAACGTGTTTTAGTTACTTACAAGTGCTAATTACATATGGACTAATAACTTAAATTCAGTAGTGATTTTAATTGAATATTTTGAATATTTATTTAATTTTGCAAATTAAACTGAACTTAATTGACTGTGTTAACTATCCTTTTCCAGTCCTTTTAATATTTTATTGTAATTATTAATTATTTGCATGCAATTAAAAAATATTTTTAATGATGCTAAAGAAGTATAACTTCTCACGCGCGTACATAAGTTACACGCATCCATTTTTTTTATTGAGATTTAGCCAAATAGAGACTGTTTGGTTAAAAACTGAAGCACAAAAAAAATTAAGCACATTGACAGCTCTGTAATCTTTAAGCATCGTCAAAAGTTTCTGTAAAAAATGCGAGCGTGCTTATGACAACACAACACGACTGAAGTTAAACTTATTTAGCTCCATCTGTATGTATATTATTTATTTATTTATTTATACTTTATTGCAAAACAAACAGCAATTGGCGGACATAATGCCATAAGGCATTCTCTACCAGTCGACCAGTAAAAGCGTGAGAACTAAAAATACGGGGGTGCAATATGGACATATGCTAAATAAACCAGGTAGGTAATATATATATCAATAGAATACACAAATATTAAAATATATATACACTACATACATGTAAATATATATGCTATATCTACAATACATACATACACATAATTATGCCAGTCAAGTATGAGAACGCAGATTAATTATATTAAGATAATGCTCACGAACCAATTCCCTTAAATACAAATTTGTTAGGAGCTTTACGTATATTAGGGGGCAAGTCATTCCAGAGTCGTACAGCCGTGATGGTGAAAGAATATGAGACGAAGCCAGAAGAGTGGACGGGAGTATGCAGAAGGAGGTTGTCCGTTGAACGGAGGACACGGTCATGAGAATCACACAGAAACCTAAATCTGCTTTTCAGGTAAGCTGGTGTATGTGGATCGTAAAGAAGATTAAAAAGAGCACAAACA